AAAAGTTAAAATCCGAAACTTTTTCAGTGGTGTGACATCTTTCGCAAAATATCTTCGCACCACCTGCAGGTGGTTTCGGGACAATAATTTCTGGTTTTCTTATTGCCCCAACATTTTTCTTTCGACTGGTGAAAACCGCACCAGCTTCGTAGCTACATCTTAGAAACAGTTATTAAACAAATGGCCATGGTCTTTCTTGTTTGAAGTGGATAATAGTTCTTATCACATACTTGTTTCTAAGACAGATATTGTTCCTCAGGCAGATGTTTAACGCATAAGAACGCATCGAATATATTCTTTCAGATAAAAAATCTCTTTTGTTTTTGTCCAGATCGGCTTGAACAGCTATTAGTCATCATCAGCTGAAACATTTTATCGATCATGCCGATGAATTAGGAGAAACAAATGACATTTTAAAACTAATAAATTTATATAACGAAATATCCGCATCAACAGGATGATTTTGTTGTAACATCAGATAAGATAAGGATCACCGATGCTGTTGATGCGATGAAACGAACTGTTCACTACAACTCTTCAAAAGCAAACATCAGTATCGCCAACGATAAAGGATTAATAATTATGCAAAATGGAGAAAATATAAAAATTTTATTATAGATAAGCAACAGATGACGATATAATTCGTAACAATCATTGGCAAATTACGTTAAAAAAAAGAGAAAAAAAATGTTGGAGATTTTTTATTGAATGTTAATGAGATTATCAATGAAATATGAAAGCTACAACCATTAATGAAAAATCATCAATAAATGAGAAGATAACAGGAGATAATTTACTTTCGGTGTATTGTGAACCGACATCACATGTAACTCAAGTAGATATTATTAAACATTTCACATTAATTGAAGAACAAAACAAAACATTTATGATCATTACACCTTAATCACACTTGTTATTTAGAGAAATTATTTCACGTATATATTACGTATAATTGATGAATTTTTTTATTTTAAAGCAGGAATAGGATCAATTGCTTTTGTATGTACCAGAATCAAGTGGTATGGAGAAATCTGAGTTAATACATGCATTAACATACTATTCTAATGAAATAAAAAGATCACGATTACTGCGAAAAATTGCCCCAATATCAAACTATCACAGCTTCAAAAATAGGTGGTTTAATCATTCAGTCCTTCCTGGTACATGGATGAGAAACAATCTTAATTATGTTACAACGTCAGGTAAAATACATGCATTAGCGAGCGGCACCAAGGTCAGCATCTATGTATTGATGAGATTTCTATAATTGGCCTCTGTCTGTTAGCCAATATTCATAAACTGTTAACAATTACTTAACATAGTAATCCAGATTATTCCATTCGGTGATATTAATATCGTATACTAACATATCGAAGAACAAGTCGTCAGTTATCAGGATGAGATATAAAATGTAATGGTGGACATTCATTATGGTTGCAGTAAAATTATATTATTGAATTAACAAAACAAATGAGAATTAAGGATAAACGATATTTAGAATTACAAGAAAGATTTAGATATGGGGAATGTACTGACAACGATTATTAACTGTTACTAAGCCGTATATTATCACCCAAGTAAATCTTCTAACTTTATTGCATGGGAATAATTGGAGAACAGCAACGATATTAGTATTTTCTAATGAACTACATGCACCATTAAATAATTTAATAGTTTTTTTTTATTGTGATCAATTAAATCTAGATGGATCCTATGATATGCATCGCAGAAGATACAGTCTAAGTTAATGGAATCAAATCTGATCGACTACATAAATGTCTTCTTACTTTACCGGATAATCGAACACATTCAACGAAATTCCTTTAACAATTTCTTCCTATTAGACTATAAACAATTAAATAAAAATATTGAATATAATTATTATTTCAAACGTTTTCCAATTGTTGATTTTTTCAATATAGTCTAATATAAATGAGAAGCGCATAGTATTTTAGATAAAAGGTGAGTGAACTTTTAAGGAAAAGTTTTTTAACATTCAATTGTCTCTTTTATGTGGTAGATCGTAATCAACGTCTGGTCCTAGAGGTATAATTCCGGTGGAATTTATATGTCTGTGTGATGTGAAATAAAGTTTTTTTATTTCATCTATCTTAACTGTTTCTTTGATCCCATTCATTTGATATATCTCGCGTAGAAATCCGTACAAATTTGGATAATCCTTTGTTATTAATTTCTTATTACATTTGAAATGTGTAACATAAACGGGATCAAATCGGACGAGTGTTGTCCAAAGACGGACATCGGCTTCAGTTAATTTGTTATTATCAGCTAAATAACGTGATTCTGACAATATGATTTCTAATTTATCCAATATTTGAAATACATCATGGAAAGCACTTTCGTAGACTTCTTGAGTAGTTGCAAATCCTGCACGATAAACACCAGTATTCAATTTTGAATAAATCTCATCATTAAGTAAATCAATTTTTGATCTTAACGACTCGGGATAAAGATCTAAATCAGGATTTTTCGCGAAACGATTGAACTCAGAATTTAACATTCGAATTATTTCTGATGATTCATTGTTTACAATGTTTTGAGTCTAAACAAAAATTTATAATTTCTTTCACAAGCTTTCACGTGGCAGTTAGTGATTACCTTAAGATCAAACAGTACAGGAACAGTCACTCGACCATCAAAGTTTGGATCGCTTAAACGATAAACATCTTTCAAATGAGTGAAGTGGGAATGGTGTGGATCGGGATAGCTTTTACTAAATGCCCATCCACATCCTTTAGCCATATCCAAAAACGTATCGACACTTGAATACGAAATAATATCTTCAAGTCCTTTTAGTTTTCTGACAACTAATGTTCGATGAGCCTAAAAAATGACTGTAAAGAAAAATTCGTCTTATGACTGTTTTTGTGTGCTTACCCATGGACATGCAGAAGATATATAAAGATGATAACGATTTGGTTCAGCTTCGAATGCAGCTGTTTTATCATCTTTTATCCAGTTTCGAAATGTCGGTTCTGCAATAAATGAGATATTTCATTTTATGTCTTCAGCACATAAGCCTACCTACCGTTTTTGACAACCTCTCGCTTTTCATTGACAGACACCGGTTCGTTCTTCGCTGCCATTGATAAACACTGTTTATTTCTGAAATAGTGAAATAAGGATAGTTTAAACCAACAGTGACGAGAATGCTATGGTATTTATCCACACAAACTATCTCGAGACTGCATATCTTATTCTCGTTACAACATGTTTTTTTTCTTACACCACGACGACGATGCGATTTTGTACTTTTTCCACAAAAGTAGCTAGACCTCCTGCGAAAAATAGTGATTTTCCTTTCTTTTCTACTTTATTTTCTTATTCAATTATATACCGCGTGTGCGTATGTTAACACGTACATTATCAAAGATGTTTGATTCTTCTGTAGACTATATGTGTTTGAATATATTCCTTCGTTTCATATAGTTTACTTGTAGACGTGTGGTCTATTAGAAGAAAAAAAAGATCACAGATGTGTGTTTTGATATGGGTATCTAACGTGAATAAGAAAGAAAAACTAGAGAAGAAAAAATCACTATTTTTTGTAGCTCTACTGATGCCAGAATCGAGCGTACATTTCTGTCTTCTTCCTCTCTTTCTATGAAGGCGAAAAAAGCATGTTGTCAATGACGAAGAAAAAATAAGATGATATTGACAGCCTCGAGGTAATTCGATAAAAGATGATGAAACAGCTACATTCAAAGCTGAACCAAATCGTTATCATCTTTATGTATCTTATACACGTCCATGGGCAAGCACAGGAAAACACCTATTAAACAATTTTTCTCTATAATCTACTTTTTTTAGGCTCATCGAACAATAGTTGTCAGAAAACTAAAAGCACTTGAAGATGTCATCTCACATATTTACGTACAACTAGAACAAAATTCAGTATTTTCCTTTTCTCTCTAAAATTAACAATAACTTTATATGATTTCCTTTCACTGGCTCGTAAAATGTGTTCTTGTTGATACCGTTTGAAGTTGGACGACGAAAGAAAACTGTGACATAATTAGCAAAAATAAATGAACTGAATCCATTTTTTAGAAGTTAAAACACGTTTTCATGTGGAGATCGACAATAAATGACATGGGATGCAGGATTCGAACATGAAACTATTTGTAATAACAGTCAGAATGCGTTCTATTTATGTGAATTGAAGAATTATTTGACAACTGCTACGCGCCATGAAGAGTGACGAAGGATTTTATCCATGCACCGGACAAATGTTCGAATTTGTGTATGTCGTATTGACGTTGGCATGCGAAATTACAACTTCTATTAATTCAACATCTTGTACAAACGTCTGTAACGAACGTCATCAGTACTTGATTACTGTACATATAGAAACATTAAACAATGAATGTAATAAATTAATTGTAGAAGGAGATATGAAAACACTGCAAAATATGTATAAATTATTGAAACCAATTCAGACGGGTATTCGGTATTTGGTTGAACACTTGTAGAACAGGTGTAGGAAATGAAAAAAAAAGCCACTCAAACTGGAAAATATATATTGTTTTTATTGAACTTACTAATGACAGTGGTTAATATTTCTTTTTTCATTTGATCAGTTACCAACATTATTTGTCGAAACATTGGTTGAATTACACAGCGATTATATTAAACGTGATATACTTTTAACCGATCGAGGATTTGTTTAAAGAGAAAGAAAGGAGGGAAGCGGATAAGGCGGTTTTGTGGCCTCAATTTTTTTCGAATAAAAATTACATGGTTGAAATCAGCATCAAATTCTGAACAAAACTGTCGCTTCAGATTTTCAAAAAACTCACTTTCATTTTTTTCAAAAATTTTAAGCCTG